TGGAAAAAAAGGGTTCCAATTTGTTCTGAATTTTGCAGCCTGTGAATAGAAATCCACTTTTTCTTCTTTTTCATATTGTCTATTCGGCACAAGAAAAAGCCTTTTTTTTTTGGTGCCGATTCTTCTTGTATCAAATAAGAATCCTTTTTCTTTCTAATTCGTCAAAGATTACTATTTCTTCTTTATTTGGGTCTGTCTCTTGGACCTTTTTTTCTTTTGCTTAGGTTTAGCCGAGGTAGTGGACAAACAGTCTGTGATGTGCGCATGAAACCATTTACAACTGTAGCACAATGTTTATTGTTTATATGGATCTGATGCCGTTGTTTTTTACGTGTGTTAAAAAAATCAGGTCTGAGTACCATTTTCGATTGCTGGCTAAGTATGAAACTTTTTGTTGCACATACTCCTTCTGTTTCAAAATAGATGGCTCAACTTTGTACTAACTTGAGACAGAGGGAGTAGGTTTTATGTCTCATTCGTCTCTGATGTCTCACTTGAAGTGTACTTCATCCGTAAAGAAATATAAGAGGGTTTAGATCTTAATATCTTGGATCCACATACCAAAGATAGTACTCCCTCCGATCATACTGGAGTACTGGACACATCTTTGAGAAGGCAGAAAAGTTCACTAAAAGAAGAAAAAGGACACTCCACATTACACAAAAAATAACATCCACAAAGCTCAAAAACAAAATGATACGATGTTCTGTGTCTGCACATCCAGATTCATGGAACCAACGGATCGATCACTTGGCCGGCGAAAACCACGACGCCGCTGAGCTCCTCCTTGATCAAGAACATGAACGGGTGGTCGGCCACGAAGTCCACGACCTGAACCGGCGTCCTCACCGCTGCGGCGCCAAAGGACGCAACAACGGCTGTCGCCGCGGCCGCCTCCGTCCCTTCCTCGTTCACCTCGACGAAGGACTGATGGAAGACGGCCGACACAACGAGCGGCGCCGCCGAATCCAGCATCTCCGAGAAGTCGGCGGCGAGGGGCGCGAACGGCAGGCGCAGGCCGAGGTCCTGCAGCAGCTCGGTCGCGTTCGTCTTGCACGATATGGTGAACTTGGGCACCTTGAAGGCGCCGACGGGGACCTGGGCCATCAGCGTCGTCGAGCTCTCCAGCAGCGCCGGGTCGGACCCCAGCCTGTGCAGCAGGCTCTGCAGGCCGTCGCGCTCGTCGGGGAGGTAGATGTACATGGAGAAGTGCCGGCGCTCGCGGCCGCGCGCGTACGGCAGCTTCAGCACCTTGTAGCCGAAGCGGCAGGCGATGTGCTGCTGGCGGTCTCTGCTCGACATGAAGAGCGCGCGGACGCTGCCGCCGGCGGGGAGGTAGAAGGCGTCGTCGAGTGTGAGCCGGGGGTCGAACTTGCGGCACCAGGCGCCCTTGAAGTAGAGCGCATTCCCGAGGACGGCCAGCGTCGCGCCGTTGACGGAGCCCTGGGGCAGGAGGTCCTTGATCCGGCCCGCCGTCACGCTCTCGAACCACCGGTTGATCTGGGTTCTCGCCTCCTCTGGCTGCAGCAATCATACACGGACGCAAATTGTGAGTCGATCGTCGCGATTCCGGGGCGAATTTCGTGGGGAGGGAGGGCAGGCAGGTCACCATGTCCTTGAAGGACGCCGGGAGCGCCTGGGCGCGGTAGTGCTGGGAGACGACGGCGGCGTAGTCGACCTTGAGGCCCATGGCGGCGTCGACCCACACGCCGTTGGCGAACCGCACGCTGGGCCCGCCGTCGTCGCTGGGGCTGTCGGAGAGGAGGCGCAGCGCGACGTGGGACGCGAGCGCGGCGTGCGCGGAGCCGCCGGCGGGGCCGAGGAAGGCGACGATCTGGTCGAGCGTGGCGCCGCGGGCGCCCGCGCCGAGCAGCGCCAGCGCGGCGTGGATGGAGAGAGGGGAGACGGCGAGGTTGGCGCCCGCCTTGCCGCCGCCGCCGCCGCAGGCGAGGTGGCGGAGCACGCGCATGGCGAAGGCGGCCTCGTCCCTGGCGGCCTCCGCGAGCTCCATGGCTGGCCTTGGCTTTGGCCGGTGGATGGGGTGGGGTGGGCGTGGGTTTTGGTTGCGACGGCGAGGGGTTTGGTTTTGGGTTCTGTAGTTGAAGCTCCGTGCGGTCTTGTGCCGCGTCGCGTTGGTGGGGTTGCTTCGGATTTCCCTTCTTCCAGATGAGCCTTCCACACGTTCCACGTTGATGGGTTGCTTATAATTTAGGCTGACTAGCAAAAGAGCACGTGCGTTGCAACGGGAGAAAAAACATAATACACACTCTTAAAAATCAATAACCATCACTCAAGATCATAATAGGTCCATCTCCTTTATTTTTGCGAGGTACTCCCTCCATTCCGAATTACTTGTCTTGGATTTGTCTAGATACATATGTATCTAGACTCATTTTAGTGCTAGATACATCCGTATCTAGACAAATCTAAGACAAGTAATTCGGAACGGAGGGAGTATCATATTTGTGTTGCCGTTTATCCTCCTTCTCACCCTTGCCGGTGATGGCCTCGGTGTTCACACAAAACAACAAAAAATGTGTGTTGAATATGGTTAATTCTAAGGCGTCTCTCTCTCCCTCTCTCCTCCCTCTCCCTCTCTCTCTCCCTCTCTCTCTCTCGCTCGCTTTCTCTCACTCTCGTGATGAGAAATCTGTTGTTTTCCTTGCGACATTTTTCAGAGGTATGCACGTGTAGTTATTGAAGTTTTCTTTTTCGTATATGGTTATAGTGGGGTGTTTATTTGCAATCAGGATCGCCGCCGGTATGAAAAAAAGGATCTTGCGCTATAAATTATAAGTTTGCTTCTATAAAAATATTTAACAGGTAAAATTAACATCATATTTAGATTTCACACATATTTTTGTAATAAAATTTCATATATAATATGTTAAAATCGAAGTTATGGTTTAAAAGATACAGATAACTTAGAGAATCATTTGGTTTGACTCAAATATATTCCAAACTAATATTTAAAAATACTTAACAGGTAAAAATAATCTCATATTCATATTCTACATATTTTTCTAATCAAAATTCATATATAACATGTTCAAATCGGAGTTACGGTTTAAAAGATATGGATGATTTTAAAAAGTATTTGTTTGACTTAAATATGATCCGCGGATGAATTACCTAAAACATCAGAGGTTTTCGAAAAATGTAGAATAATGGTTCGGGTGTGACTTAAATCCGGACGGCGGGTTGATTTCAAAAAAGACAGGGACTTTTGTATAAAATACAAAAATAACGATTCGTTTTAACTTAAAACAGGATTGCAGGTTGAATTCTTTGAAATAGAGGGACTTTTCTAGAAAAATACCATGACGGACGAAAGAAACCCAATTTGCTTTATTATTAGGTAAAGATAAACTACCTAATCTTTTCTCAAAAATTTGACCTATACTTTGGTAGAAAGGGACCTCCTTCTATGTAAACCTTCCTGTAATGTGAAACATTTGTGCCCTATTCACATCAAGGCTAACCAGAGTCTTAACTTTCCCCGGGATCCTTCTTAAGAAATAAACTGAAGGGTTGGCCAACAGGGAGATGCCACTCTGGAGATTTGATTCGCACAATTGCCACTTCAGTCGTTGCATCCTTAATTAGTATTGCCATTAGCCCTGTTTTAATTGTTTTTTGGCATTAACAGGCTAGTGAAAAGACTAGCTTACCCCTGTGGCTATCTACACGAATGAATCTGATTTACACGTACGTGTATAGTTTGACCATGGGGCTCAGTTCGTACCAGCACCAGGCATTGGCTTCGCCTGTGAGATCGCCCGCTGCCGCTCTGCGCTCGCCGTCGCCGCCCGCTCGCCACCACCTCTTGCACCACCCCCGGGCTCGTTAGTCGCCGGTTGCCGCTCCGGCTCCCTACTTGCCCCGTCCGTTTGCTGGTCGCAATGCTCGCGTACTCGCCGCTAGTGCCGATCGCTGCTCGAGGTTGCCGTCGCCGCTCACCACTGGCAATCTTCGCCCGCTCTCTGTCACCTCTTGCGCCACCCGTGCGCTCGCTGTTCGCTAGCTGCGCCTCCCGCTCCCTGCTCGCGGATTGGCGAACAAGAAGTGCCTGAAGCTAATGGCAAAATGCAGTTATGCAGGAGATACATTTTACAGTACCTAATTATTTAGAGCTTTGACTGGGTGTTTGTTCTTTTAGCAATTTTTGTGGTATAATCCCAAGTTATGGATATGCTTTGTTGGTACGAGGAAAGCAGGATCGATGTATATCAGTGAGAACTTGTTGTACCTTTTATATCAACGAACGAACTTATGTGGTTTGGAAGCGTTTTTTCAGTCATTTGGTACAAACTATGACATTCAGGATTATCTATCTTCTTTAGGAGGGAGGGCCTCATTTTATCTATCTTCTTTAGTTTCTCATCGTTGATGGTGCCGGTTGTCCGTACGATGCAGCCTATTTGATTGCCGTAGCACGCGCGCGCTTTCGCGGGCGCTTTTGGCTCAAAAATGCCGCCGTCCACCTCCGTGATCACCAGTCTAGTAGTTATGAGCTGGTTTGGGCGCTGTTGCCTCTTTGCTTTTGGTTCTGTACCGGCTCCGCTAGTCTCAGCGCCGGTCTCAGTCTCAGCGCCGGTCTCGATGTCGGCATCAGTCTCCGATGTGAAAGGTGGGCCCAACAACATCAAACGTTGATCGTCAGCAAAGCTCAAAAATTCGTCTGCCACCAGGTACACGTTGTCGCAATCACCAGAACATTGTCCTTCATCGTTGCTAGCCATGTTTCCTACGATTAAATCTAGTCAATTAATTCTAAACCTAATAAAATGAATAATGACATAAAAAAGGCATATGTTTTGTAGGAACATTGAGTCCTTTCCGGTGCGGCAAATCCCGGGAACTCGATATGTCCTAGTTTGTAGCACAAGTCATGCCGAAATTTATGGAAAATTTTGGCATGACCTTTGCTAAAAAGTGGAAAAATCGAGAACCTAAAATTTGCCGGAACAGAAATGAATCAACATTCCGGCAAAACATAGCTAACTCGGCTTCATTCCTTGGAAACAACAAAAGGCCACTTGGGCATAATCGAACCACTTCAATGTTGCATATAACATGAGGAAACACTATTGAGGAATTTGCATATATAACATGACCATTTTAATCAAAAGATATAATCAACAATAATGGAATATGCAAATGAACATCAATGACATATATCATATAACAGCAATCTTGTTTTTTGTTTACATAGCAACAATTACTTTAACCAAGTTTTTGAAAAGAAAAACAATTCTATTTTTTGTTTATAGCTAAATGCCATAGCTACTGTTTTTTATTTATACCTAAAATACTTTTGTTTTAGCTGAAAGTCTAGGAGCACCATTTTCTCTAACCCTTCTGACCTCACCAAAATTTCCACAACAAGATCTTAGTACCTACACCCAATTTCTTCAAAAATTTGGACCAGATTCAGGTCCATAGTCCAAATAATTTTTTATAGCAACTGTTTTTTTGTTTATTGCCTCTATTAATTTAAAGCTAAATGCTACTATTATTTATGTACCCTCTATTAATTTAAAACTAAATGGAATTACTTTTAGGCATTTTCATAAAAATTTGCCCTAGCTAATTTCCTAAAAAAATTGCTAATCATTTTTCCTAAATGCTAAAAAATGCCTACTGCCCTAAAAAAATCTAGGGTTCATATGAACACCTAGGGTTCATATGAACATCAACACAGCAACAACATATGAATTGCCCTAGCAGAGAGAGAGAGAGGAGGGTAGGGGAGAGGAGAGGCACAACCTTACGGTCGGCGGCGAGGGCAGGCTCGGGCTCGGGCGGCGGATCCTGGGTGGGCTCGGGCGGCGGCCGTGAGCTCGAGGGAGGCGACGGGGAGGTCGATGACGGCCTCGAGCGGCAGCGGAGAGGTCGACGACGGCCTCGGGTGGCGGCAGTGAGCGGCCTCGGGCGGCGGCGGTGTGGTCGAAGGCGGCATGGCGATCAACGACGACGATGGAGGAGTTGGGGGACAGGGGGGAGAGGGGGAAAATGACTTAGCGAAATTTTGAGCCCGCGTGGGTTAAGTCAAAATAGCTATAGCGCGTTTGGCAAAACGCGCTATAGCTAACTTAGCTATAGTGTTTTCCAGAAAAATGCGCTACCGCTATTGCTTTCTGTTTTTTTCTTTACATTTTCTTTTTTTCATTTTTCATTTATCGATTTTTTCTTTCATTTTCATTTACTTTTCTACTTATTTTTCTATTTATTTTCTTTTTCTTAGCAGTAGCGCGCTACACCAGAAAAGCGCTGCTACAAGGCATTTAGTAGTAGCGTGCTTTCGATGGACTCGCTACTACTATTTCTAGCCTACCGGGAACAATGTGGGAATTCTAGTAGTAGCGCGTTTTCCTGGAGGCGCGCTACTGCTAAGACCATTTCTGTAGTGTGTGTTTTTGACACGCGCTACTGCTAAATATCAGTAGCGCCCTTCCATGACCAGCGCTACTGCTATAACTCTGTGTATAAGGTTTTCCCTGGTAGTGTACTATATTAATATGGTATCATTTGATTCCCCCCAGTTCCACCTCACTTTCACACAATCACACAAAAGTACATGAAAAATGAGAGGTTCAGTTCATCTCTGAATAAGGATGGACGGAATGGAACTACATTATGCAACTGTAGATGCAAACTCCCATATACTATTTCGAAAAACTACCACTTTTTTTAATTTTTCAAAAAAACTACCACAAAAGTGGCTGGCTGTTTCAAAAAACCCAAGTGGCCGAATGGTTAAGTTTTAACTGGGGTTATGACATGTGGGGCCCGCCCGTCAGGGTTTTGTCGGCCACAATGCTCATGGAGCGCGGGTGACGGCCGTTAGGGCGCACGGGCCGTCCCGACCAGGTCAAATGGATCCGGCCCACCTCACTCTGTCTTCCCCCTCTCTGTCTCCCTCTCTCTCTCTCGCGCCTCCCTCTCCGATGGCGTCGGCGGCGGCAAAACCAGGCGATGGCGGCTATTCAATGGGTGGAGGTGGAAGGA